GTTTTCTTTCTGTTGGAGGGAGGAGCGACATTGTAGAGCGAGGGGATTGCCAGAAAGCGTCCACCAGTTTGAGGAATTTATAAAAGCTCGCTTCAGAGGTTCTTTTCTTTTCCCTTTTATCACTTTCCTTTACTTCTTTTCTTTGTGTGCATTAGATATTAGAGCAACGTAGATAGTTATTTAAATACCGTAATGAATAAATAGGGTAAAAGCATAATCTCTAGGATCTTTATTTTTCAAATTAATCTATCATAGGGAACCCGAAAGGGGCATTGTGGGGTGCTAACACCTTCCCCACACATAACTAACTCCCTTACCCCAACTCTAGTTATAATGGCCAAAGTTGGTTTTCTTAAAACCAACGCCTTCTTTTTCTTTCTTTTTCTGATGTTTATGTTCAAAACATCGGTGACGACTCCTTAGAACCCTTTTTGCGAAAACATCATCTTCAGGGATAGTTCAGTTATCGAACATCTTGAAAGCGATGATCAATTTACTTTTATAAAAATGTGAGTTTAGTCATCATATCGCGACAGTTCGCTTCTCTCTTGAAGACCCATATGTTGAACATACAAGGACTTGATGGTGAACTTACATGGACATGAAGCTTGTTGATTTTGATGATGATTCAAGAACAAAGAACTTAGAGTGTTGAAGACTTGTATTGTTGTGTAATAACTCTGTTTTGATGAGTTTAAGTCTGTAATATTAGAGTCTAAGATAGCCGGTACATAGTCTACTATTTAGAAGCTTCAAAAACTCATATTTATCAAAAAGGCTCGGGTTTAATCGATTAAATCACTAAATAATCGATTATTACAGTGAGAAAAACCATTTTCTGTATCTGTTCACTGTAATAAACGATTAACAGGGCACTTAATCGATTAAACCAGTGAGTTTTGGGGTTCTATTGATTTTGGCTCTGTAATAATTGATTAACACTTCATTTAATCGATTATTTCATTCAGATTTGGATTTTGAACTTCAAATTAAACCTATTTTTGAAAATCCTAATCCCAATACTCCAAGTTCCGAAAATCCCCAATTCCCAAACCCTAATTCATCTACTTAAGGTTCTCTAAGGCTCTTAGAAAATTGAACAACCTTTTTCAAACAAAAGTTAAGTGCTGTGAGTGCCAGAGAACTGTTTGTTGAAGGAAAAAGGGGCTTTTGGAACCTGGTGTGGGCTAGAAGCGATAAGAATCACTAAGTGGAGTTCTTAGTGGATTGTATGTTGTGCCGTCTCTAGGGAAAGCTGTTCTTCATCTCTTGTGGGTTTCAAGAGAGGTGTTTTCTTAACTTTATCTTTTCCATTGTTATCTGTTTGTAACAACTTTGATTATAGTGACAGCGTTAATCCTCTGTTTGAGTGATTAGCAACTGGACGTAGGGTCTTTTGATCCAAACCAGTATAAATCTTCTGTGTAAGACTCTATCTCTATCTTATTTATGTTTACACAGTATTTTAATCGGTAAAATTTGGGGAACATTTTTAAAACCTAATTTTTGTTAAGAAACCAATTCACCCCCCCTCTTGGTTTTTGTCCGACAATGCGAACATTCCGCTGCGCGATTCTAACACCCTAAAAACACCCCAAGGCGTCTTTTTCCGAGAGAGAGGGAAAAACGACGACACTAAACAATATACACTCTACTCTTAAAACTAAAGTGGAAAAACAAGGTAAAAAATGATTCAGGTAGGAAATCTATACTATATAGTATGAATAATGGGGTTGAAAGCAGAATACCCATCAGTCTCTAAACATATTATGTTGAGCTTTATTTTTTAGCATTTTATCCAACTCTCTCTTCGTACCAACACTTATGAGTATTCCCATTACATATGTTTGTGAAATAAAATTATATTGTTAGTATTATTATATAGTAACCATTAAATAGCAAAATTTTCAAAATAGTAGTTCACATACCAACTAAGTAATTTGTGTTCGTATAAATTGACAATCAACTAAATTTACTTGGTTCCAAATTGAAAATTGATTTTATATGGGTGGTGCATGGTTCTATAAGAACCACCATTTGACCAACCCCAAAATTCTGAATAGAGTAAACACTTCCCTCGGTAATTTCATTTTGAAATTTATAGATGAGAGACCTCCTAAAAATACTAACCTTCATATCTTGCAACACAAATTCCATAGAAAATGACAATTTCTCTTTACTGAGATCTGAAACAAGCCACACTGTATAACCTTTGTCAATATATTCGACTTTTATTTTTCAACATTGAGTTCCAAAACAGAGTGATACTTTTTTGGCAAATTGGGCATGTTGGATTGTGATTCAAATATATGGAGAATAACAAACTCAACATAGAAATATAGTAATCATAAATGTATATTTATAAGCATGATGAGAAGAGGGAAATATTCCCTCTATTCTACAATTCAAAATTTGAAATGTTGATGATATTAAAGTAGTATGAAGTCAAACTTTTACCATAAACTGAAGATATTACCATTTTTATTGATCTGGCTCCATGTATTTCCCTCATGATCTAAAAAGCTGCAATTTTTGAGCTAACAAAAAATACATATATTTGATCGAAGCCTAACCCATAAGTAAATGCAAAGCTATAGACTATTAAACCTTAAATTTATACCACCAGGTTAGGCTTCCACCAAGTTTCGTTGCACAATAATTTTGAATGGAAAAACCTTTATCAAAGCAAATTAGTAAGCTAGATTACATAATACTATACTTGAAACGAGATATAGAACTCAAATCATGGTAAAAGAAAACAATATTGAAACCTAATCGATAGAAAAAAAGGTAAATGTTTTAGAGAAAAAATATTTCAAATTAGTAAGCTAGATTACATAATATTATATTGAAACATGTATAAACAGTTATAAAATCTTAATCATATCAAATAAGACAATATTAAATCTTAATTGTGATAAAAAAGAAAATTAAAAAAAAAATTAACTTGACTCTTCATTACAATATTGAAGGTAAGCATAATAAAAATTAAAAATCAGTTTTGAATGTAAAATTCTTAGATCAAAACAAATTAGTAAGTAAGATTACATAATAATATACTGAAACAGATATAAACAAATATACAACCTGTGATAACAAAAGTAACTTTTTGAAGAAATTGATAACCTTAAATGAAAAAACTTTAAATTCAAAACTAAATTGACAAGAAAAATAGCATAACCTATTTGAGCCCCCGCAAATGTACGCATCTAAAATTTCCAACAGATAAAAATGCTAATTAAGAAAAGATTACAACAAAAAAGATTTGACGTTTTTTTTAAACACTGATTTTAGAAGAGAAAAGATTGAATTTCGCCACCTGAACATGTAACCTTACTTAGGGATGAAGACGTGCAACATTACTGAGAGATTGAGAACAAGGAAATTGGGAGAGCATTTGGGTCAAAAAGTGGAAGATTTGAGTTGAAAAACGTATTTTATCATAAACCCATTCATTTGTCCTTTATCGAGAATAATATGTTTTGTGTATATTTTATTTTTGATTTTATATTTTAAAGAAAAAAATGACCTTAACACATGTAAAAAGTTACTATTTGTGCTATCTCTAATTTATATATATATATATATATATATATATATATATATATATATATATATATATATATAAAATTGTAGAGTCATCGTATACAATACGATTTAAAAAAACATTATGTTACTCAAATTTATAATTATTTCTAGAATTTGTATTTTAATAAATATATAAAAGAAAATGATCCTAAAGTGATAAGCAAATAAGTTATATAACCTATAACATAGGTCATAGGTTATTTTAGTGTCTATTGTTTTTAAAGGAATATTATAAGTACTTCTAGTTTTTCAACTTCTTTATTTAAAATAGTAAAAATGAAATATATATATATATATATATATATATATATATATATATATATCCGTATTTTTTTACACTATCTTATTATTTATATTTTTTTATCATACTATCTTTTTATAATGAGTTAAAATTTAATTATATATAAATAAAATATATGTTTTATTGTTATTTATTTTATGTGATTTTATTTATTATATAAAATCATAGTTTAATAAAATATGTTATTTATTTTTTTGTATTACAAATATTATATTATATGTTATTAAAATAGATGAATATTACATAGGTTTAATGAAATTACATGATAAAAAGATTATAAAAATAATATTTTTAGTGAAAAAAATGTATGTTATTAACGTATATTTTATTTATTAATTAGAATGTTTTTATCAAATAATATAATAATCTATTAAAAGATAATAAAAATTATTTATAAAAAAATTATATTATGATATATATATATATATATATATATATATTATAAATAAAAAATTTAAAACTGATAATTTTTATGAACACATGTATCATAAAGTTGAAAATGTTGAAAGTAGCACAGCTCACTAGAAGAGTGAAGAATGTAATCTCGAAATAAAGAAAAACAAATGCCTAAACTCCAAAAGTTTAGAGGGCTATTTTGGAAGAGTGCAGTTATAATATTCAAAAAAGAAAAAAAAAGAAGAATTGAAGGCATAAGAGTGGAATTTGGCACTTAGCAGGGAATGTGGCCCTTCTTTGGACACGACGTTGACATGTCCTTCCAAACCACGCCACGAATCACATTCTAGTTTTAAGCCGTTGGATTGTTTGTTGCAAACGAAAATCATTGTTATGTTAAGCACGTATAATTAATTAACGAAAATTCTTCATTAAATTATTTATAACGCTTCTTCTCCCTTTCTATGAAACAAGGACGAGTGTCTTTTTTGTGTAGAAAACGAAAGGAGAAATTTCCAGACATTGTTATAAAATAGAAAAATATAGGGAAGTTGTTCAAGATAGAGACAAGTTGAATGACAACAACACCATCTTAAATTTTTTATTAGATAGATTAAAAAAAAAGAGGTAATAATGGATTAAAAATTGAAGGTATTTATAATTAATTAATGGGAAGTTTTATTGTGAGGGTAATGGGTAGAGGAGGAAGTAATAAATGGTGGTCCCAGAAGGAAGAAAAAGGAATGATGGTCCAGGCGATGGTGTGGACCTCATACTGATGATGGAGATCATGTCGGGAAGGAACCCAACTGCCACCTGCCACCTGCCACCTGCTAACATGGTTGTGTGGTGGCCCATGAATATACTTCCCTATGCCCTAGTTTATCTGATGCCTGATGGGACATCCTCCAATGCCCCATCTTTTGCCTCATCCATTTCCATTCAAATTATATGATTTTTTAATTGTTTTCATCAAAATATAAAATTATATCAATATCTTAAACAGAGAACCATCTATCAGCTAAACAGATATGTTATTATTATTATTTAGAAAATGTTTCTTTTTTCAATAATTTTTTTATTTTTTTCATACACATTTTTTTTATAAAAGAAAACAAGTAATGCAGTTATTTATTATCCTTTGTTATCTTTTATTGTCTTTTTAATTTATACAATCAAAACAAGTTCTGTTCCTTCTCCATTTGTTTATAATAGTATTTTTAATAAATTATTTTAACTCATTTTAATAATTTTTAATATTATACTTAACCGGTCCCAAGACACTAAACATTATCATGTTTTGAGATACTTGAAGAGATATCTAGATTATATGAATATATCAATCATAGCTTAGATATCAGAATAATAATTTAATATGGAATTCCTGAAAATTATTTCAAAATATTCAAAAGATTCATATTAATCTATCTAGAAATCACAAAATGAATTAGGTTCAGTGATATTATTAATCTGTTTTGGCCCATTTCATTTAATATGTAAACTCGACAGACCAATGACAGGATAAGGAAGGCTGATTTAATTTAAAATATTTATATATTAAAATTAAAATAAAATTTTTTAATTAAAAATATTATATTATATTATTAAAATATGTAAATATACTATAATATTATAATCTAAATCATAAAAATAAATCAATTAAGTTTAAATTATTGATTAATATACTAGTTTTTTAATTTATCTAATAAAAATATTATTTAATAAATAATAAATTATTCATATAATTAAATATATATTTAATAAATACATATATAATTTTTAAAAAAATTATTAACGAGCTAGATAGTTGACTCATCAATCAACCCTTTGACATGACAAAATTTTCAAATCTAGAAAACAATTGAACTAAATATACGTGAATAACACAATTTACCCGTTATTTAATTAAATAACACACTTTTATTATAACATCAAAATTTGGCTCGCAGAACGATGAAATAATAGAATTTTTAAAATATAATAATATTTATTAAATATAAATTAAAAATAAATAAATATTTTTAAAATTTATATATATATATATATATATATATATATGAAATAAAAATAAATATAATTTTTTACATAACATAAAAATATATTTATATAATTATATTATTAAAATATTAAAATATTTTTATAAATATAATAAATACAAATATATTTAATATATATATATATAATATTTAATTAATTATTTATATTTTTATAAATATAATAAAATTTAATCAATATATTATATCTTTCTACATAACATTTTTACATAAATAAATTATATATTATTATTTAAATATATTTTTAATATAAAATAATTTTAGTAAGTAAAAATAATATTTTTTTATAGAAATATATAAATATTTTTATTATATTTTAATATATTTTTATAAATATGGTAAATACATATTTATGTTTTGTTATGTACATAATAATTTTATTAAATAATATATATATATATATATATATAATTATACATTTAAATATTTAATAAATAATTTTTTATATAAAATATTTTTAGAAAGTACAAATTATAATTTTCTATCTGTTCCATAATATATGAATATTTGTAAGAGATATAAATACAGTTATTAAATATATATATATATATATATATATTAAATAAATATATGTAAAATATTTTTTTATATTTTATATATAATAAATATAAATATATATTTTTATGTATAATATAAATATATTATATAATTATATGTTTAATAAATGTGTATATACTTTTATAAAAATATATATATATATATATATATATATATATATATATATATATATATATATATATATATATATATATATATGATAATATATATTTTTATATAATATTTAAGTATTTATTTAATAAAAAAGATATTTAGTAAATAAATATAATATTTATACAAAAAATAATTTTATTTAATTTCAATACAATATAAAATAGATTTGGTATAAATCTTTTGTTAAAATTCCGTATAAATAGAAATTTGAATTAGTTAATTTGAGTAAGATTTACAATTTGAATTAAAGTGAATTGATATTAAATCAATAAAACATGAATAAACAAGTTAGAAAATCACAAATGAGTAGAATAATTATTTATTCATTGATTATAATGTCATATTACAAAATTACAATAGATTTATCTCGTGAGAAGTTGATCCCCTAAAACTAGGGTTATGTGGACGATGATTTCTTGTGTGACCCCGAGTGTAACAATATGAGCATTTCTTTGGGTGACCTTCTTCGTAGATATCCATTTCAGTCCTAATTCGTGTTAACTTCAGACGACCCTTGAAACTTCTTCTTATTGCTGGGTTGGGGCAAAGTTGTGGGCCTTGATGTGATGACCAATAATCTTCATGCCTAAGCTCCCCAAATAAATTGTCATACACTTTGTTGACTACATCCAACCTGTAAACAACATTGTTGTATATCTCATAATCATGGTGAGTTTGTTTGCAGGCTGCAACCACATGGGAACATGGTAGATGAAGTTTTTGGAATTTCCCACAATCATACCAAGCTTCATCTAGTCTAACAACAAAATTACCAGTAGGTTGAACTTCTCTTGGGTTGACGATCTCCTCCACCAAGAATCTTATGCTGCTTCCATCGAATTCAAGCACCCTATGAGTGTTTGATTTTGTATAAGCATCTTGTAAGACCTTTGATGCAACTTCTGAATGGACATAACTAGCATTATTCATTGCTGTGATTTGCCTCCCTCTTTTTGTGAAAAATTTGTTGCATCTTGTGTATGTGACCATGACCATAGAGGAGATTGGTAGATTCCTTGTTTTCTTTAGGACTGAATTGATGGATTCAACTAAGTTGGTTGTTAGTGTTAGAAAAGTAGTTTTAAATCAAGAGGGGGGGTGAATTGATTTTTTAAAGTTTTTCGCAATACACAGATTATCTAATCCGAAAATTAAGTTTACTAATCAATTCACGAATTCACAAATTAATTAAGCAATACAAGCGCAGCAACTGAAATTAAAGAGAGAAAGGTTAGGAAAGATTTCACCGGTAATTTTATACTGGTTCACCCAATACCAGGGCTACGTCCAGACTCCAGCCAAATTCCAGCTGGGTTCCACTAGAATAGATGTTTTACAGACTCACCCTCTTACACCTATTCTAACTCTCCACCAAGAACCAAATTCCAGCTCTTGGAAACCTCTCGCAACCAAATTCCAGCTAGCAGAGAAACCGAGTGCCCAAATTCCAGGCACCACACAAGTACAAGAACCAAATTCCAGTTCCTCGCACTTAACCTCTCCACCAAGAACCAAATTCCAGTTCTTGGAAACTTCTACAACCACCTACCAACTGCAGAAAAAACTTGTACCCAAATTCCAGGTACAACACAATACAAAGTAATGAAAAAGAATTTACAAAGAAGAGACTTAGAAAGCTCAAACCGGATTACACCAATCCACAGTCAGTTTCTTCTTCAAAGAAATGCAAAGTGCCTCAAGAAAGATTTCAAAAGAAGTTCACAAAAACAGTTGTGTATCTTTCTTGAAAAATGCTAATAGTTGTTTGTATTGATTGCTTGAATTTGTGTAAAAACTGATATTCAATCTCTGTTTAAAAGTTTCAAGCAAATCTGTTTATAAAAGAGTATTTTCAAATCTGCTGCATTAATTAATCTGTTGAAAGTTTGTTTTAATCTGTTGAAATAGCCGTTACAATCTGTTAAAAGTCCTTTCAACCCATTAATGCATTCTTGATCTTTAACGAGAAAATGTTTTAGTTGATACTGACCACGTTTTTATCAGTTAAAACGTTTTACAAACATTTTCTAAGTATAAAACAATCGATTGAATCGCGTATTAATCGATTGATTTGTTTAAAAACTTTCTTATAAAACTTTCTAAGTTATTTTAGCTGATATAAAGTCGTTTCAATCGATTGAAAAACTGCACATATATTTTCAAGTCATTTTAATCGATTGAAAGTTCGTTTTAATCTATTGAAAAGATTTTCTAAGTTATTTTAATCGATTGAAATACGTTTTAATCGATTGAAACAGATCTGATCGGTCATATTTCAATTCTGATCGATCATCCTGACATCCAAAGTGATTTTAATCGATTGAAACGTGTTTTAATCGATTAAAATAATTCTGATCGCTCATATTTAAGATCTGATCGATTATATTGCATTCTGACCTATTATATTCGAATTCTAATCGGTCATAAAGAGTTTTTAATCGATTAAAAGGTTTTTGTATCAATTAAAATGTCTGTGAAAACACTTCTATAAACATTCTAAGTGTTTTAAACGTTTCTTTAAAAAACTATATCAGTTAAAACCATTGTTAAGAAGGTTCTTTGTCAAAATGCTTTTGTTTGATTTGTTTAAAACTATTTTTGAGGCATTTTGCAAATTGAGTGAAGAAGCTTTATGCGAGTGGAAAAGGTAAAGTGGTTTTACCTAAGCTTTCGTTTAGACACACTAAGTCTTCAGCTCCTTTGTTCCGAGTGACTTGTTTGACAGCTGCAGAGTTGACCCTTGACTTTATTTTTGACTTCATCAAATCAATGAGATCTTTGCTAGGATCACTTTCAGTCTCCCCCTATTTGATGAAGACAAACACCATTTTGAAAAAACAATCTCTGCAAAATAAGTCACTTGATAATGCAGTTAAGTGAGAAATATAAGAATGTAATAAAGTTTTATTTCTCCCCCTAAACTTATTTTCTCCCCCTAAACTGTTGCACTAAAATTTATCTTAAAGTGATGCAACTATTTCTCCCCCTTTTGACTTCATCAAAAATAGGGAATAGAAGAGAAAAGAATAAAATGTAAGGTTTCGAAAATATGCTCAAGTTTTTGAAAATACAAAGTAAATCAATATTTCACTCATGAAAAGAATCAATTAAAGTTGATTCAAGCTTATCTCCATTAACACGTTTGTAATGAATACAATTAACACGTGTAAAGATAAGGGAATCACGCTTT